GCGAGGCAATGAGCTGGACCTAACAAGTGAGAAGCAGCCTTGGCCACATAAAAAATAGGTTCATTTCAGAGAAAAAATTCTCGGTCAGGGCCAGGGATCAAGGGCTAGAGCAGGTCCACAGAGGGAGATGAGGAATGGCCCTACTTGGTGCACCAGGCTGTCAAAAGAGAGGAGCCAGAGCCAGGAAAGGCCCCTAGAGGAGCGGTCCTCTGCAGGCCAGCAACTCCCCTCAAGGGTGCAGTGGCTATTCTGACTGGAAAGATTGCTCTTTGTATGGACTGACCCCTGCCCTACCCAGCACACATCCAGTGGGATCCAGCCACTGTGATCATGAGAACCAAGCTTGATATTGTTAACACACGCACAAAGTGTGGGGAGAATGTTCTCACAGAGATGACATGTTCAGATCTGCAAAGTCACAAAGATAGATGGGACACCGCAGGGCCACACTATACTTTACCCCTTCTGTTTCTAAGGGTCCCTGGAGAGGCTTCTCAGGGATATGGGGAAAAGGAAGGATGTCACAGAAGGTGCTGAGGTCCCTAGATCCCCAATTCTGCCTTCAACAAAGTAGATCCACTGGTAAATGATTTCTTTGGAAAATGCTCCAGGGCTATGGTGGTGGTAGTGGGGGCACTAAATACAAAACCATGGATTCAAAACAGAACCCAGAGGCCTGAAATCAGGGTGCAACGATCAGTGAGGGTGTTTCAGGAGAATTCAGGAAACCCTGGACTGAGGAACCTGACCTTGAGGACAGAGGAGGAGCCAGACGATGGGGACAACAGGTGAATTTGGCAAGCCTGAGTGACCAGGCACTAAGAGGGAGGGTCCCCTCCCCAGCCTCCTGCAAGACCTCTGGCACTCACTGGGGCTGGACAGGATGTCCTTTGCCAGCCTCAGCCAATCAGCGCTCAGCCCCACCGGCTGGACCAATAGCAGTTCCTTTTGCTCCCCATTCAAAATTGTGGGCATGGAGCGTGGATGCGCGTGACTTCTCAAGCCCGAGCAGAGCCAGGGAGGAAGGGGAGAGTTCAGGGAAGGTCCCATGATCAGGGCTTTCCTCAGCTCTTCTACTCTTTGGGACTGAGGTGGGATCTTCAGAGACCCCCTCATGGCTGGGGATGGCTCACCTTCAACTCTCTCCTTGAGTTACTAAAGTAAAATTCACAGGCTGGAGTTGTGGCTCATCGGTAGAGCACTTACCTACCTAGAGTGCAAGGCCCTGGGTTCGATCCTAAGCACCACATAAAAATAAATAAAATAAAATTATTAAATAAAAATAAAAAGTAAAATTCACGTGTACAAGTCACCCTCTGTCTATTTTGAAGTGTACAACCCAGTGTGATTTAGTAAACTTGTAACTTTGGAAAACCATCACCGCCATCTAGTCAACAATATCCTCACCATCCCAAATGGAAACCTCGTTCCCATTCAACTGTCCATGGGACAAGCCTGTGTACTAGATGACCACTAGGACCCAGTAAGTCTGCAGTAGGACAAAACCAGAGAGGTTAATGAGAGTCCAAGGTCGGGGTTGTAGGAGCCATAAGACCCCCTGATGTTGCAGATGGGTTTGTGACCCTGTGGGACCCTGGGGGCCTCGGAGGAGGCAGGCAGGCAGTGATCCCAGACCTAGACTCACCCATGCTGCCAAATGTCAGAGACTGCACAGCCACATGGACAATGACATCCTGGCAGTCACCCCGCTGCTCCATGTCTCTGATCATTTTCTTTCTCTCCTGCCTCAGGACCCAGCTGCTGGCCTTCACTCCTGCCCAGAGGATGCCTCAGGCTCCCTCACTGCCCCACCTCAGCACATTCTAGAGTCACAAGGATCGAGCTGGTGGAGCCAGAGCCCCAGCCACCATCTCCAGCCCTTCCTAAATATCACATGGCTCTCAGCACCCCTTGGGGAGATAGGATGAGCCACAGCTCCCATGGCCATGTGGAGGGCACTGGGTCAATAAATACCTCATTCAAACTTCTCCATGACACTATTGTCCTGATCTTAGAGATGAGACCAAAAAAGTTCAGAAATGTTAAGTGACCTGAAAGGACAAACAATATGGTTAACTCCCAGGACAGAAAGGAAGGCCTAGTCACCCTGCTTTGTAAGTTAGGTTGACAGGTACAAAAACATCTGTGCACATTTATGGTGACAGAGCATTCAAAATATCCCACATCTACTCAGAAATATAAAAACCAGCCTAAAAATCATTTCAGGAAAAGAGAAAAGACTGAAAGAGCACAATAACACAATTTGATTTAACCAGGCATCCCAGGCTCAGAACAGTTACAATGTTTCTGTGGGATCCTTGCACAGGACTCTAATTTTTACAAATCTTTTCACCCCACCCCAACCCTCACCAATTCGGTAGCCCTTGTCTCTAAGATCCTGCCAAAGTTAATCCTCTTTGGTTTAGGTGAGGTCACAAGGTGCTTTCACAGATTCTGGAATTTCCTTAAAGGGCAATAAAAGGTCAACCACCTGTGTGAATGTCACACACCTGGGTGGAGGCCCAGGCAGAGGCACCTTTCAGACTCTGCAAGGCACTTGACACTCAGTTTGTAGTAAACACATGTTGGAGGAGGGATGGACACATACACATTCCATGAAAGCTGTGTAGGGCTCTAGCAGCAGCAGTGTGCACGGCACCTAGAGGAGATGCTCCCACCTACACCATGTGCAGGTCAACAGACAGCCCCAGCTGGAGCAAAAAAGGAGGCTGAACAAGAACAGGAGCAGGCCCCCCAACCAAGCAGCAGCCACCTGAACTCTGTCTCAAAAAGTTGCTCAGGGTCTCCCTGATTGGAGAAGAAAATTTATTGACCAACTTCTCTGCATGATGACCACAGTCAAAATTGTATATTTCAAAATTTCTAAGGGATTTAAATGTTCTAACCACGAAGACCAAAAGGTAAGTTAGGGAGGCAGTGGGTATGTAAATGAACTGAATCATTTGCAATGTATACATATGTCAAAAAAAAAAAAAAAACAATCCCACAAAACCAAGGCCAAATGATTTCTCTAATATGTGCATGCTAATTCACAATAAGGTGCAGAATCTTTTTAGTTGGATGCTTGTGTATGTGTATATGTGCACAGCAAAGAAAATAAGAGTATGAAGACAGCCTACAGAATGGGAGAAAATGTTTGTCAGATACCCTTCCAACAGGGGATTAGTAACCAGAAATATTATAAAATGTTATATATTGACAATAAAAAATCTAATGAATCCAATAAATGGGCAAAAAAATCTAAACAGATTTCTCAAAAAAAATTCAAATGGCCAACAAACATATAAAAATATGTTCAACAAAGATGCCAATCAAACTAAATTGAAACCAGGCACAGAAGCACGTACCTATAATCCTAGCGGCTTCAGAGGCTGACAGGAGGATTGCAAGTTCAATGCCAGCCTCAGAAATATGGTGAGACACTGTCTCAAAATAAAAAATTAAAAAAGAGGCTGGGTATGTGGCTAAGTGGGTAAAAACTCCTGAGTTTAATCTCTGGCACAAAAACCTACACTGAGATTTCATGTCACCCTGGTCAGAATGACAATCATCAAGAATACAAATGATAATTGTTGGTAATGATATGGGGGGGAAATGTACATTTATACATTGTTGATTTGACTGCAAATTACCGCTACCACTTTGGAAAGCAGTATGGTGATTCCTCAAAAAACTACAAATGGATCCATTCTTATGGCCCATCTATCACACTCCTTGGTAGTTATGATATAGATTTAAAGTCAACATACTAAAATGATATATGCATAAGAAAGTATATATTAGCACGATACACAATAGACAAGTTATGGAACCAGCCTAGGTGCCCACCAATAGATGAAAGGATAAAGAAGATGTATATATAAACACAATAGAGTTCTACTCAATCATGAAAAAAAATGAAGTTTTGTCATTTTCTGGTAAAGGGATGGAACTGGAGAATGTCAGGCCAAGTAAAATAAGCTAGTCTCAGAAGGTCAAACATCAGGGGCTGAGGCTGGGGCTGGGGCTCAGTGGTAGAGTGCTTGCCTAGCATGCATGAAGCACTGGGTTCGATCCTCAGCACCACATAAATGTAAAATAAAGATACTGTGTCCACCTTAAAAAAAAAAGAAAGTCACACATCAAATGGTTTCTCTCATAAGTAGAATCTAAGGAGAAAAGAGGGATAAACTTGCAAAAATAGAATTGAGAGTAGGAGAGTAGAAGCAGGAAATCAAGGATCAGGGAGGACAGGAGGCAAACGGGAAGAACTAGGGAATAAGCTGACATGCATTTATGAATATATCATAATGTATTTCAATTTTATATGTAATTATAATGCATCAATTCAAAAATTAATGAGTAAATAAATAAATAGATGGATGAGACATTTAAGCATACAACTTATAACTATAAAAATCCCAAGAGAAAAACTAAGGGAAAGCTCCATAATATTGCTCTTAGCAATGACTTTATGACCGTGACTCTGAAAGCACATGCAGAAAAGCAAGAAAAACCAAGTGATATGACATCACACCAAAAGCTTATGCACAACAAGGAAAACAAGCAACAAAATGAGAAGGCCAAGTAGTGGGAGAGACATTGCAAAGCATATACTTGATGGTGGCTAACACCAAAAATATATAAGCAACTTATACAATTCAATTTCAGATCAAACGTACAGAAGCTACTATAGTTAATAATAATGTAGTGTGCAACTGACATGGCTAAAAGAGAACGTCTGCAATTTTCCTAACACACACAAAAAATTGGTAGGTGTTTGAGGGGATGTGTATATAAATTAGACTGATTATGTAATCATTTCACAATGTATATGGATAACATATACCATCTTTTGAAACACATACCATCTTTCCAAAGTAAAGGAAATTTTGAAAGACAAATAGCTACACCTGTTTATTTCAGTATAGCAAAATAAGATAATCACAGTTTTCAGAATTATCAGCTAATCTATGTTCACTTCTCTTATTTAAGTATATACCTTATTTCTCACCTTCAAGAAGATCAGGATTTTGATACACCTCAGGAAAAGGAGAGAATCAACCAAGCATGCTCATTTTTCTGAAAAACATAATTATTTCAGGACATTTAACTTTAATACAAAAACTTTGGTGAAAATAGTACCATTAAGATATAGCCATACATTTTGGTATGGTAGTGAAAACCTGTAAACCCAGTGACTCAGGAGACTAAGATAGGAGAATCACAAGTTCAAAGTCAACCTGGGCAACTTAGTGAGACCTTTTCTCAAAAAAGAAAACATAAAGAGGGGGAGAGAGGGGGGGAGGGGTGAGGGAGGGGTGAGGGAGGGAGGAGAGGGAGAGGGAGGGGGGTGAGAGAGAGAGGGAGGGAGGGAGGGAGGGAGACAATCATTTCTTATTGTGCTTGTCAATGTACATGCTGTTTTGTAAATTATACCTGTCATTTAGTTTTACCTCCATAGATTCTAATTTGAAAGTCCTATCTTCTGACATGGTCATTAGGGTCTTTATTTTAATGACACTCCTACTTAGACACTCCTACCTTGGGTCCAGCAGCACTCATGATGGAGGAAGGCATTCTCGAGTTTCTACTGGTCTATATGTAGGACAACAGATCTAGATTCCAACCTTCAATTAATTAAAAAATATTTAAGTCTGGGCTGTTCAAAGCACAGCCAAGATGGGTTTAGAATGCTGTTTCTCAGACTGGAAACAGAAACTTTATCAGAAAGCTCAGTATAATTCCTTTCTATGGGCTTGGCCTCACCCAACCTGCTGAACCAACTGAGAAATCCACCAAGGAAGGGCAGGCCCCAGCACTAAGCCTCCTACCTGAGTCCATGGCCCTGCATCAAAACCTATGGTATAGCAAAAGAAGTTTAATGAGAGACGTTTATAGCAGTGAACATCCACATCAAAACAGATCTAAGATGACAAAAAGCTAATGCAACACAACAAAGAACTATAAAAAGAACAAACTAACCCAAAAGTTCATTAAAGGAAGGACATAATAAATATCAGAGCAGAAATAAATAAAATAAAAACTATGGAAACAATTGAAAAAGATCAACAAAACTAAAAGCAGGTGTTTAAGAAAAAGTCAGCAAACATTCAGCTAGGTGAAGAGAAAAAAGGGAGACTTAAATGAAATCAGAAATAGAAAAAGAGACACTGCGTCTGACATAACAGAAATACAGAGAATCATAAGAAACTCCTGTAAAGAGACCACTACTATACGCCAGCAAGTTCAATAATCTAGCAGGATACATACAATGCAATCTACCAAGATGAAATTATGAAGAAATGGAAAACTTAGTGTAATACTGAGTAAAGATGCTGAATAAATAATGAAGAGTCTCCTATAAAGAAGAGGTCAAGACTTGATGGCTTCTGTGCTGAATTCTAACAACCCTTTAAAAAAGTATTCAGGGTGAGGGCAGTACTCAGTGGTAATGTGCTTGCCTTTCCTGGCTAAGACCTAAGTTTAATCCCTATGTCTGGAAAAAAAAAAAAAAAAAACAGAAAACTGAAACAAAGAGTACTAATTTACCAATTCTCAAATTCTTCTAAAATACTGAAGAGGGAATCCTTCCAACTCATAAGCACAGAACTATTCTGATGCCACAGCCATGCAGAGACACTACAAAAGCAAACAAAAACTACTATAGACCAATATACCTGGTGAACATAGATGCATAAATATTCAACAAAATGCTACTGAACCTAATCTAATAGCACACCAAAGTGATCATTCACCACCAATAGATGAGATTCATCCCAGGGAGGTAAGGATGTTTCAACGTGTGTAAATACATAAAGGTGATATTCTGTAGTAAAGGAATCAAAAACAAAACTCACAGCTCCATTTAAATAACTACAGAAATCATTGGGTAAAATTCTATATCTTTTAATGAAAACCTTCATAAATTAGAAATAAGAGAAATGTGCCTCAACCAAATAAAGGCAATGGATGACAGACCCAAAACAACATCACACTGAATGGAGAAGAGCTGAAATAATTTCCTGTAAGATCAGGAACAAAACAACACTGTTGTTCAATATACTATTAGAAGTGTTGGTCACAGAAAGAGGTGAGAATAAAAGAAATGGTGTCCAAATAGGAAAGGAAGAGGTCTAATTACCCCTGTTTGCAGATGCCATGATCATATATATATATATATATATATATATATATATATATATATATATATATATATATAACCCACATTATAAACATCTGGGCTGCAGGCAGCCCCTGATTTACATGTCTCCTGGTTTCTCAAGGCTCCCATCAAACTGGCTGCACATGGAGGTAATGGACCAACAGCTCCTAGAGGCCCCCTCAGCCAGCAACACCCATGAAGCACACCTTTATAACTGTTCCCACCCCAGAGCTGCCCTTACCCCGCTCTGCCATTGCTTCTTTGCTTCTTCTTATTTTATGTATATATTTTGTTAAATTTAGCTTTTGAAAAAATTTCATTCATTTTTAAAAGATTCAGTTTATTGGCATTAAATACATTCTCAAAACTCTGCACTAGTCACCACTATGTTGTTCCAGAACATTTTCCTGAATTGGGTATCTATAACCCCTCCCTCTCCCCTGGCCCCCTAGTCCCCAGCAACCCCTGATCATTCCAGCCCTGTGATATGCCTAGTCTGCATTTTTCAAATCAGTGCAGTCTCTTTTCTCTTAGGTCACATAATTTTGGAAATTTCCTTAGTAGGGTAAATGCTACACAGGTCTAAGTTTATTATTTTTTAAATTTTTATTGTTTTGGTACTGAGGTTGAACCCAGGGCACTTTACCACTTAGCTATACCCCTCATCATTTTCCTTTTGAATTTTGAGACAGGGTCTTGGTCAGTTCCTGAGGATCTCTCTGAGTTGGTAGGGCTGCCTTCAAACCTACAATCACCTTGATCAAAGCAGTGTTATTTGGAAATTAAAAAAAAAAAAAACCCTCTATATGCAATGCCTGGAGAACAGATAAATCAGATGCATAACAGTTACACCAGGGAAAATTATACAACATTGAAAAATAACAATGTCTAGCTCCATGTCGTTGAGCAGGTAAATCTCAACAACACTGCTGAACAAAAGAGTACACAGAGAAATCATTTATGGTAATATCGCAAATAAGCCAAACCAAAAAAATAAATAAATAAATAAAGCACTCGGAAACACATTCTCACCGCAGACTGTAAAGAATAGTGAGGACAAAAATGGATATTTTTCAGGCTAGTGACAACCTCTATGAGAAGAAAGAGGTTAGAGAAAACCCAGAGAAGGCTTCCACCTGTCCCAAGACCAACTTATTGTACTTAATATACTAAGCATATACATTGTCAGGTTTAATTAATAATATCCAACAACTTATCTGCAAGATTTATAAAATCATATCTTACTATGGGCTATTGTCTTCATTCTTCAATATTAACAGAAGATGGGTCCAGTGTGGAGGTACTTTGTGCTTTTTTCATATCACAGGACTCAAAAATGATCCACAGAGGGGAGGGGGTTGTGACTCAGCAGTAAAGCACTTGCCTAGCACATGTGAGTCCCTGGGTTTGATCCTCAGCACCACACAAAAATAAATAAGAGGTATTGTGTCCAACAACAATCAAAAAAAATAAAAATATTTTAAAAAATGATCCACAGAGATAAGGAAAACAACTGGAAAATCATTTTAGAAGACCTATTTTAAGGAAAAAAGCCTTTATTCCTACCTGTGCTTTTGTTCCTTCTCTCTCCAATGGACTGGCTTCTCTAGAAAATAATGCCATATGAAATTCTGTCATCCAAAGTCCAATTTTAAGTACTGAATCCCTGACTCAGCGGTTACTTCACGCTAAACATAACTCACTGTACAGACTCGGGGCTGCCCTCTTTGTATAGCTCAGGGAGCTTCAGTTTCTTAAAATGTTACCTTTTAACATATATAAATATGTAGCCTCTCAACTGGATACATTTCTGTTAATAAGTTACTTAGTTCTTTGAATAAGAGGCAGCAAACAACCACAAGGTATATTCACCAGTATTTTAACTGGCAGATTTAAAGACCCACAAGTGCTTGCCCATCTGGAAGGGAAGGAGGTGCTAATTAATACTCCCCAGACCTGGATGGCTTTGGTCAAGAAATATGACTGGCAGTCACTGGCTGCAATGAGGAGGGGAGGGGAAATCAACTCAAAATAAATAAGAGTTGACAGGACAATCTTAAAATCAGTACATGGAAGAGCAAGAAGGGATTCCAGGGGTACCACTAACATCTGATTGGGAACTCCTGGGACTTGATCAGAACCATCCTCAGAAGCAGGACCAAGGACAGGTACGAGATCTCACCTACCTCTTAGCTGAGGATGGAGACTTGACCACAATGACTGCATTCCTATGATCTGGGATCTGTGATAGACAAGAGGTTGGGGATTACCACTATGTCTCTAATAGGTCATGCTGACAGTCAGTGAAAAGCAATGCTCCAAGATTCAAAACTGTCCTCTGATTCCTTGGAAGTTTTGCAAAAAGAGAAGTTCAAAACAAAAGTCTCCTTTGGAAATGGAAGGAATGCCTACCTAGGATGAAAGTATTACTAAGGTGTGAGACACACAGATTCCTTTTAAGAAAAAAATAGGATAATCAGTGATTAGCTCACATCTCTATGCGAACAAATAACTGTTATAAAGGTGCTTCTATAAAGTCAACAGAAAATCCCCTCATGACTCCCAATTACATGCAATTTCACAGTATAATGAGGAGAGTCACCCAATTCAAATCCCAGTTAAATGTCAAATTCCAAATTAGTGTGGTACACAGATGACTATTTCAACATGTTGTAGTTCCCATATGCTAAAGAAACAAATTTCTGAAAGGGCAATCATCCTTGTACTATTATAAAAAAGATCCCTAAAATAAAAAGCAAACAAACAAATCCAATTAAAGTATTAGCTGCTGCTTTGGAATCTTTTTCTTTGGAGGAGAGAGGGTGAGGGTTCCTGAGTGCTATACCACTGATCTGTCCCCAGCCACTTTTTCAATTTTGTATTTTGAAACAGTTCTAAGTCACCAAGATGAACTAGAATTTGCAATCCTCCTACCTCAGTCTCCCAAATTGCTGGGTTTATGGGCATGTATCATGATACCTGACCTAGAATCTTTTAATGTTGAAAACTGAAGTAATAAGTGCTAGTGATGATTAGAGGCAAAGATGAACCCACTTTCAAGGTCTGAGCACATGGAAGATAAACTGTTTTGAAGCTGAGCTGCAGTTTGTTTCTGACTTATACTTGACAGAATTGTTAAATTACATTCTTAAAATTTAACCATTTCATTACATTATGTTATTTACTTCAAGTATAGTCCCCCCCCCTTTTTTTAATAATACTGGAGATTGAACTCAGAGGAGCATTGAGTTAATCCCAGCCCTATTCATTTTTAATTTTGAGACAGGGTCTCACTAAGTTGCCCATGCTGGTCATGAATTTGTGATCCTCCTATCTCTGTCTCCAAAGTTGCTGGGATTACAGCAGGTACCACATGTGCCTGGCTCCCATTGTTATTTTTCTCACAATTACACCCATCAATTTTAATATAAATAGAACTAACACCTAGCACACTGTATGGATGCCTACAATATGAGAAACTTTGCAAATGAACAAAAAAACTGATTCAAAGAAGGATACACAGGTGCATCGACAGGAAAGCCTACCTCATCCCATGATCTCAGGGAGGAAGGCAGCAGGACATATTTTCATTTAGACACTTCTTTATTTTTCTGAAATTCTTTTGAAATGGTCTCATGTATTTCCTTGTCTCATCAAACATCATCAAATAGCAAAAACCCATCCCAGTGAAGATAGGAAAACCAAAGAAATAATAAACAAAACAAATAAAAGGACTCTAACCAAAACAAGCCTATTGTCTCTTCTGAGGTTATGACAGAAAATCATACAGATAAAGGAGGAGTAGTTGTAATGAAAAAGAACAAGAAATCTAGGAGGAAGAAGTCATTATGTCTAAAGGAGAAACTCAGTAGCTGGTTAAATGGTAGAAATAAACCAGCATAAGAAAACAACCTGAGATGACTAAGCCCAGGCATTTTCTGAGTATGTTATATATAAGGCTGCAAAAAAAAGAAAGCAAAAAAGAAAAGTCATAGCCAGGGATGGTGGTGCATACCTGTGGTCGCAGTTACCCAGGAGGATGAGGCAAGATTACTTGTTTGAGCTCAGAGTTGGAAACCAACCTGGGCAACATAGCAAGATCCTTTCTCCCAAATAAATAAACAAATAAAATAAAAATGGAGGAAACAGAAAGAAAAAGAAATTATATTACCTTCTGAATTGGCATTTTAATTTTTTATGTGTATAACATGAAATACATAAGCAGATACTATAGATTTTTCTCTTTCCAAACTTCTTGAGTCATTTTCACTATAAAGTGCCTAAACTGATAGAGGTAGGAGGATCATGACCAGCTTGGACAACTTGGAGTGTGGGGAGGTCCTCAATTCTTACCGGAAAAAAAGCTCCTGAGATCTATAAACTGCTGTCTTTTAAGTATAGTAAATGGCAGTTATTTGGAAAAGTTACTAAATAAGAAATAATTCATGTGAAACAAATAGTTCCTAAGACAAAATAGCTAAGTACAATATAAACCAAAATTTAAAAGGTTTTCTTAAATTAAAAGCCACAAAAGTGCTCTTATGTCAAAGAACAACAAATATGATTAATAAAATTACTCAAGTCAGATTTACCCAGTAATGCAAGAGTTGTTCAACCTGAGAAAAATAAATGTAATACACAACATTAACAAAATAAAGGGATTCCCCGCAAGCATGCGCGCGCGCGCACACACACACACACACACACACACACAGAAAATACTAGAATTAATAAAGGAGGAAAATGTACAATTACTTCCAAACAGAAAAAGCACTTGACAAATCCAATGCCTTTTCATGACAGAAAGACTCAGAAAACCAGGAAATGAAGAACATTTACCCAATATGATAAAGCATATTTATGAAAAACCCATAGCCAACATCAGACTTAATGGTGAAAGACTGAAAGCTTTTGCCCTTAAGTTCAGGACTGAAGCAAGGATGATACTTTCACTACTTGTGTTTAACACTGCACTGAAAGGTCTGCCCAGAAATATCAGGCATCAAAAAAATTCACATTGAAAGGAAGAGGTCAAACTAATTCCATTTGAAAGTGACCTGTTCTTACATGCAGGAAACATTAAGAATACAAACCCACACAAACCCACAACAAACTACTACAGCTAAAAAATAATATTTCACAATTGCAGGGTACAAGAGCAATTTGCAAATATCAGTAGTGTTCCTATATTCGACCAATGGACGCTCCAACAAACAAACAAAATTTTATTTACAGTAATATCTAAAAAGTAACATACCTAGGAATAAACTGAACTTAGGCTAGACAGAGAAAGACCTGTACACTAAAGAAATTAATATCTAAATATATGGAAAGGAATCTTGTATTCATAGGTTGAAGACTAAAATGGCAATACTGCCCAAAGTGACCCACAGATTTAATACAACCCCTATCAAAATTCCAAAATTCAGAACTTTTTTGCTTAAACAGAAAAGCTAATTTTCAAATTTATATGGAGTTGCAAGCTTCAAAAAGCCAAAAAATCTTGAAAAAGAACAAAACTAGAGAACTCATAATTCCCAATTTGATTTAAAACTTGCCAAAAGATAAATATTATACAGACCAACTCAAGAGTCCAGAGGTAGACCAAACATCTATCAATTTTTTGATTGATTTTGACCACAAGGTGCTAAAGCCATTCAGTGGGGGGAAGAATAATTTTTAATAAATGGTGCTGGACAATTAGATATCCACATAAAGAGAATGAGGTTGGACCCCTACCTCAATACATAATACAACGAATAACTCAAACTAGATTGGACCTACAGGGAAGAGCTAGAACTCTTGTTTAGATATGTTTAGATCTTGTTATGATATGTTTAGAAAACAGAGACCACCAGCATGAGCAACAGTGAAGCTTCGTCTCAAAAAACAAACAAACAACAAAAAGCCCTGGGATTGACCTTAGTATTGGGGGAAAAAAGAGAAAGAAATAGGTCAAGGGTCTGGGGTTGAGGCTAAGTGGTAGAGTGCTTGCCTAGCATGTGTGAAGCACTGGGTTCAATTCTCAGCACCATATACAAATAAATAAAATGAAGGTCCGTTGACATTTAAACATTTTTTAAAAATGTTTAAAAAGAAATAGATCAATAAAAAACAATAGCTACACTGAATTTTTCAAAATTATAACTTTTTGTGCATCAAGGGATACTATCAAGAAAGTGAAACAATCTGCAAAATGGGAGAAATATTTGAAAATCATCTACCCAATAGAGTCTGGAATTCAGTATCTATCCATCTATCTACCTACCTTCTACCTATCAATGTGTGTGTATGTGTATGTGTTCACTCCTGGGGCAATAATAAGGTAACTCAATTAACAAATGGGCAAAGGATTCCAACAGACATTTATCCAAAGATGATATGTAAATGATCAGTTGAATGTCTTTACCTGTTAGGGAATGCAATCCAAAATTACAACGAGATAACACTTCACACCCACCAGGATGGCTACAACCAAAAATTACAAGAGAATAAGTGTTGTTAAGAATATTGAGAAACCAGAATCATTACACACTTCTAGCTAACTGAAAGAATCCCCCCAAAAGAATAAACTCTATAATTCCATTTATATGAAATCTCTAGAGCAAATCCCTGGAGACAGGAAGCAGATTAGTGGTTGCCAGGCAACCGGGGAAGAGGGGTGGGTGAGAGGAATGGGAAGTCATTACTTAATGGGTTCAGGGTGTTCGGAAGAAGTTCTGGGACTAGACACAGACAGGGGCTGCTCAACACTGTGAATTAACTAAATGCTACTGAATTTTTATGTTTAAATGGTTGGTTTTGTTATGTGAATTTCACTTTGTGAGCAAATACTTAATAAGTTTGCTTCCAACATTCCCCAAACACAACTAAAAGATGGACATGTTACAAACTGACAAATCTAAGTGAAACAAATACCAACAAATCAAGAATGAAACAAAGAATGCCTACAGCTCAGTAAGAACCACACAAATGAAACCACTATAGAACAGACAGAAGGGACAACACATTTTCAACGAGGAGGAAGAATATCTGAAGGTATGTTCAACCTCACTAGTCATCAGATCCATCCATCAAAGTGACAGGATACCATATCACAGGCATTCAACTGACCAGAATTTAAAAATTTGGTAGCATAAGCATTGAAGCAAAGATGGTTCCCCAGGGTATCAATCTCATTGCTAGTGGGAATATAAGTTGGCACAACTGCTCTGGAAAAATCAAACATTCACACACCATGCAATTTTTCAATCTCCCTAAGATACATACTGGCTTGTGTACCACTGGAGACATACTGAATGTGTTCACAGGAGAGCTATTATGACAGGGAATGCCTAGAAACAACTCATACGGACATAGATAACTAGGCTGAGATACAGCTGCACAAAGAGCACTTCTCAGTAGTCAAATGGATAACTGCACGTACAACAACAGGGATGAGTTCCAGTTGTGTACATACTTCTTACTACATAACACCAAGTGAAACACTCAAAAGATTACAGTTTTTTTCTTGGCAAGTTAAAAATGTAAACATACATATATAATTGAGCATTAAATATATGAACTGAAAGTACCTAAAAAGGGAATTAAAGGAAAAATGACAGGAGATCCAGGACAGTAGGTCGACAGTAGTTCCCTGCATGGCAGGAGGCAGTGGTATGGGATGGAGATGGATCATGTGAACAGAAGTAACAACTGGGATGGTTCTACTAGCAGGGTTCAGAATGACTTCAAAACAACTTTAATGTGATAGTAAAATGTCATTTCAATATAAATTTGAACAAAGTGTTTAGGAAAAAATGAAAACAAAAGTCATTCTTATTACCTCCATGGTTAGGGAGTTGGAAACAGAATTCTCTGCAGAATTTCTCATTTTACTAGTCTCCCAATTCTACCCCTTCCCTGGAGCTTACTTTGTGTGATTTTAGTTACCCATGGTCCAAAAAGATTATATAGAAAATTCCAATAAACAATTAATAAATTTTAAACTGCACATCATTCTGAGTAGCACTATGAAATCTCATGATACCCTGCTTTGTCCTATTTAGGAGGTACATCATTCCATTATCCAGTGTATCTATGCTACATATGTTATCCACCTGAAGTCACTTAGTAGCCATCTCAGTTGTGAGATCTGCTGCCCTGGTACTGCAGCGTGCCTACAGAGTTTAGTAGCACCCAATGTTTCAGGTATCACTGGGGATCGTGACACATCTCTCTTGTGGAGAAGGATGGACTGCACAAACTAGTGGGGTTTAAAAGCAGCACCACTGTTTTCCCTCTATTCAGTATTCTCATTTGGTTAAGAGAATGCTTTGAAATGTTTTCTGTAAAAATAAAACCCCCAGGCTCCCAATTAATTGTCAAGGATCTGCCTTTCTTACCAGCTTTGCACATCATGGAGGCCAAGAATTTAGATGATGGAGCCTCTTTTCCTTATCTTGCACTGTTTGCTGTAAGGAAATCAGGAGATCACGCTGATGATGCTCTTGGCATGAGAGGTCTTCCATGTGTACACCATAATCAGGAGCTCCACGATGGTGGTGTTCACATCCCTGTAACCCAGGCACAGAAAATCCCATTGAGAGGTGTAAGACTTAAGATTTCCCTCCTGACCTGGGGGTGTAGCTCACTAGTAGAGCATGTTTAACATGCTTGAGGCCCTGGATTCCATCCCCAACACCAAAATAATAACAATAACATTATTATCTCCCTGTTCTAAGACCTGAGGTGTAAAACACAGAAACCAGTGATGTCTTCTCTTCTCATATCTCCATGAGCTCTCCACACATTTCCTCTCAACTGATGACTCTAGTTTCTTTTTCCCCCTGAGACCAGTGTTGTTCAGCAGGCAAGAGGCAATAGGGATTAGAGTCAATTTTGGAGAATTACTGGTGTTCAAAGTTCCTCTTTGATTAATGGTGGAGCACAGGCCAACTTGCAGGTTATAGATGCACCTGGTGGTAGGATCCCATGGAAGCTGTCTTCTGATAGAGTACTGGTCTCAGAGATTTCTAAAAAATTATACTACTCCCCACCCACTCCTGGCTCCAGTAATCCTCCCTCCCTGCTTGCACCATCATCTGTCACACTCCCCTGGCTCATACTCATTAGCTTGTAAATATTCAGGTCCTTCTTCCATTAAAAACTACGTTTCATAACCACCTTCTTTGAAGCCCCAACTCTTTGCTCCCCTTTGTACATCTCAGGAGAGTTCTCTACCCTCACTGTCTCTGACTCAGAAATTCTCATTCTCTCCCAAACACATTCCAAAGAAGCTCTGATCCTCCAAACAATCCCCAAACTCTTCTCACCAAGGTCGATGGCCTCTAAGTGGTTAAATGCACCAGTCAACACTCAGTCCTATTTCTCGGCCTCTCAGCAGCATCTGCAGAAGCTGCTCACCCCTGTCCCTTCAGACGCTTAATGCAACCACTTCCAGGACACCCCTCTCTGGTCTCCCCATGCCTTCCTTGTTTCTTCTGCTGGTTTCCCTTTACCTGACCTCCACCTAAGACTTTCATTTGTCTTTTTCTGTCTTCCCTCATCCCTTGAGCTTCTCATCCAATTTCATGGCTTTGTAAATGTTGGTGACTCTCACATTCCTACCTCCAGCCATACACCTCTGAACTCGGATCTCAAAGTCCCACAGCTGCTTGATGGTTCCACTGGAATGTGTATCAAGGCATCTCAGGACTTAACCTACCCTAAATGGAACTGTTCTTTTTCCCCCCAAAAAACCTGCTTCACTAAAAAACCTGAGCCAGCTCAATTACTGGCAACACTCTTCCTCTGGGTAACTCAGGACAGAAACCTTAGAGCCACTTGTAAGGTTCTTTTCCAGATGGAAAAGCTCTTCTCTTTTCTGCATCTTACCACTGCCCCTTATCTGGGTCATGCCACCCCATTAGGTGACCGTGACCTGCCTCTCCTGGAATATCCCTGAAGTCCATGCTCCATGCAGAGAAACCTGCCCTTCAAGTGAAGTTACACCGTGCAGGCCTCTGCTCAAGACCATGAGATAGCCTCCTCTTCTGCCCATGGCCAAAGCCCAAGGTCTCACAGTGGCTCCCACGCTCCTTTATTATGATCAGTCCCTGTCCTTCCCCTGGCTCCATGCCCCCTTCTCAGCCTGGTCACACTCTATTCTGATCAGTCCTCCTACTGCTGCTCATTGCCACAAAATGCCTAATTCTAGGTGGTTCTATTAGACTCAATCCCACCCCTCCTACAGTTTTTGTTCCAACATCATTTTCACCACAAGGCTTACTCTACCCCTCTACCCTCTCACTATCATCCCTTCTGATTTCTTGCCATACCACTTTATTTTTTCCATAGTGCTTACCACTTTCAATATACTGGATAACTTATTTATCAGTTCTCTGTATGTCTCCCTCCACTAGAATATTAACCCCACAAGACAAGGATCTTTAGTGAATCAACAATTAAGGCACCTCACATATCACAGACATTCAACAAATATTGGTTCATGAGCGAATGAGTTGATTTCTGTTATTATCAAATGACAAGTCTGATATCTGGTGAATTAAAACATACTTTCACAGGCTGGGACTGTAGTTCAGGGGAAGAGCACTTGCCTAGCATGTTTGAGGCACTGGGTTCAATTCTTAACACTACCTAAAAATAAACAAATAAAATAAAGGCATTAAAAAAACATACTTTCACAAAAGCATTCTGTGCAGAAGGATGAGTAGAGGAACTGACAATGAGTACAAAGTCACTTTAAGTACCATGAGCAACAAGGAACTGGGCTTCCATCACTCAACTCAAGTGATGAAACTTGCTTGAATCACAGGAAAAATTCAGTAAATGGACTTTTCTTCATCTAAAATCTGTCTCATCTTCTAGTAACTGCCACTGGAGTCTGTACTAAAATGAAGGAAGGGGCTGGGGCTGCAGCTCAGGGGTACAGTGCTCTCCTACAATGCATGAGGCTCTGGGCTCACCCCTAAGACTCTAAAAAATCAATCAATAAAGAAAATGAGGTAGAGGCTATATCTGTCACCAGCAAATCTCCATGTGATTTCAGAAAGAAGACAATGGCATCCAGGCTTGTCATAAAGTGGATGAGACTGAGGACCTGACTTAACACAAATTGTGGCACTCATAGGACAATGTAAAGCTGAGGCAGAAAGATTTGGAGAATACTTAGTGGTCTTGAACTGGGGGAATAAAAAGCTGACAAAAGGCAGGGACAGATGATGACAGTATTGAAATAAACAAAAATATGCAAAGGAAGAGAAATGGAAGTACTTGAAAATGGGAAGGATTAACACAGTCACCCTTCTGGAGTCCTGAATTCTAATTCAACTGGATCTGAGCTCCCACTTCTCTCCTGGACAATCCACACAGCCTCTAGTATTTATCCAACAAAGACCCAAATTGTCTCTGAGGAGGGGCTGTAGACACTCAGGAGCCAGAGCAGCCTAAGTCATCTATGCCTGTACCTCCCTCCCTGATGCTGCAGCGGGGTATAGGACAGGTGGGTCCTCCACTAGCACCCTGGCACAGGACAGGTCTGGGAAGAGGAGAGCAGCACAGGACACCAAGACTTGGTGCCCTCATGCCCAGCTCTGCTGAGAACCTGAAGGTCCCTGCAGAAGAGGAAGCAAGGGCACCTGATTAAGGCCAGCCACAACCATACTCTCACTGTCTCATAGCACATATACACTCCCTGGTTTGGGAACCAATAACATTTCCTTGCCACTCCTCTTTCTGGAGCACATAAGAGTTTTGTGACACCATCCTGATGAAGCAAAAATCAGGACAGAGATATTAAAAGTCTAGGTGAAAGTATGTGTGTTCCAAAACTAAATTTCTGAAAATTTTGTTTTTTCTTCCCTTGCTTTGCTGTTTATCATAGACATATATCTATTATTAAATTTGTTAGGCAGCAATTTTCAGACTCTGAGCTAAAAAAATGATACACTATCCAAACTGATTTCTAGGCATTAAAAAATGTTGAGGCCTCAGTTCCTTGTGTTAAAGAAGCAGGAACTGAGAGCTGGGGTGACAGAGTGCTTGCCTAGCTTGGGTTTGATTCTCAGCACCACATATAAAAAAATAAAAACAAAGTTCTATCAACAACTAAAAAAAAAACATAAAAAATAAACTAACTCAGGGGCTGGGGTTGTGGCTCCGTGGCGAATTGCTTGCCTCGCACATGTGAGGCACTAGGTTCGATCCTCAGCACAAAATTAAAAAAAGAAATAAACAAAGATATTGTGTAAATGTATAAATAATTTTTTTAAAAAAAAAGAGGAACTCAGAAAATGTGGCATGAAGAAGTGGTTAGAATTTAGGGTTTATATCCCATCTTAGCAGAGGAAGGGGAAGACGACAAAGGGCTCTTAAAGGAAATGACTTCTAGGAAAGATAAGCAGTCCCTCTGGAGAACAGATGGGAGAAAGGATACAGTTTTGTGACAATTAGGTGACTTCTTATTTGGGGGGATTTCTTCTCTAGCCTCAGGACAGAAGTCAATTTCCCCAGGCCGGAGAACTCCCAAAATCTAGGAAGGATATTTATGACATGTGAATTCTTTTGTGAAGTTTTGCTTTTATGTAGATAAAGAGAATTGAGAAAAAGTCCTCCTCCTTTATTTACTATTTCTCAAATGTCCTCAGATCAAAATAATCCCTATCCCATTGTGGGATATCTTCTATCCCTTATAGGGACAGGACTGGGTAGGACTAATGATGGCAGCTTCAGGCTGGAGGGACCTGCCACTCTCTGGCCACCTGTAGCCCAACTCTGCCTGGTGACACTTGGGGCCCCTGCTCCATATCATAGTTTGGAATGGATAACTGGAGCTATCCCACCTCTCTCTTCCCACCCAGGGCTTTGTGGTTGCTGTAGGGCTACTCCAGGGGGACCTTATTCTAGGGCAACTGAGCTGGAATGGGGGGGGCTACTATTGGACTGGGAAGCCTAGGATTGAAGGACTAGCAAGGGCCTTAAAAGCAGAAGGGTAAAAAATCATTCTTAGTGGAAAATTTTCATTCACAGAGGTGTCTGGGGACATCTAAGGACGAATGCACAGTAGAAAGCAGAGCTGCATGTGAACACCCTCTCTTCCACAATAGCTCTTCATTCAGTGTGGCACAGAAAACCTTACTACACTGAATTCTCTACACCCAGCTTACACACTGGTGACCTCCACAGTTTCTAGAACATATGTGTGTCAAATGTTACACTCACTGGGATATACGTTCTTTTTTCTTCAATGGATGTGTAACTGATGTGATTCTGCAATCTGTATATGGGGTAAAAATGGGAGCTCATAACCCACTTGAATCAAATTGTGAAATATGATATATCAAGAACTATGTAAGGTTTTGAACAGCCAACAATAAAAAATTAAAAAAAAATATTTATTTTTTTCGTTGTAGTTTAGCACAATACATTTATTTCTATTTATTTATTTTTATGTGGTGTTGAAGATGGAACCCAGGGCCTCGCACATGCTAGGCGAGCACTCTACCGCTGAGCCACAACCCCAGCCCCAGGATATAAGTTCTTTCAGTATAGTCTTTTATCTTCTTAGCTCCTTTACTTTATAAGTGGGGACCATGTTTAAATTATCTGCAATAAAGTCTTTAAGAAAATTCCCTTCCCACAGTCTGTTTTTTTTTTTTTTTTTTTTGGTGAAGCTGGAGTAGAAATGCTTCCCGGAAGACCTTATACATGGGGAGGGGGGAGGGGGGAGGATGGGAAAGGCAGCCGAGCACAACAGACACTAGTATGGCAATTTGTAAATCAATGGATGTGTAACTGATGTGATTCTGCAATCTGTGTATGGGGTGAAGGTGGGAGTTCATAACCCACTTGAATCAAAGTGTGGAATATGATATGTCAAGAAATTTGTAATGTTTTGAACAACCCACAATAAAAAATTAAAATAAAAAAAAAATTAGAATAAAAAAAAAAAAAGACCTTATACAATCCTGAATATCCACTATTAGGAACTTCATGGATTCTCTATTCTAACACTTGATCTGAACTTTTATGACAGCCCATTGAAAGCAGGTACAAGAATTAAGCCCAATTTAGAAATGGGGGAAGTTTACAGATGACACTTTTACTCAAGGCTGGGCAGCCTCTCAGCAGCAGATAGACCTTGGTCTTGGCCTGATTTCTAGGAGTTAGTAGTATACAACACTAACTGCACAAACTGTCTCAACATACACAGAAAATGACTTGCTACCCTGCTGAATTCCACATACTGTGAGCAGAAAAGGACAAATATCCAGAGTTTGAAAAATGAGTATTGCAAACGTACCTTGTTTAGAAAACAATCTATATCAAGTGATAAAGAAAGAATACAAAACTTTGGTTCAGGATTTCCAACTCTTGGAATTTACCCCAAGGAAACAAGAACAACACTCTATGCTTAATGATGATAACTGCAAGATTTTAAAAAAAAATATTATTTTTTTAGTTGTAGTTGGACACAATACCTTTATTTCATTTACTTATTTTTATGTGGTGCTGAGGATCGAACCCAGGGTCTCGCACATGCGAGGCAAGCACTCTACCACGGAGCCACAACCCCAGCCCAAGATTATTTTTTTTTTAAGGAGCAGAAATTCTGGACATGTGCAAAGGTTCCACAGTGCGGAATCAAGTTCAACTGAGACTATACATTCAATATAATAAATATTCAATACCATATAAGCAAAGTTGCTTAAGAATGGGGAAGAACTGGGTAATAAAGGTACAGACCAGGGCAGGGAAAGAATAAGGCCAAGAAAGGTATTCTTTGGGGTGGGAAGTCAATAATGTGGGTAAATTATTTTTATTTGGGTATTTAAATTTTTTTTTTTAAATTAAGAGCTCATCCTTCCTATTGCCCCAAAGCCCCATTCCACATTTTCATATTCCTTACACACCCTAATTACCCAAATTGAGTCAACATTAAAATAAGAAAATTAAATCCTTATCATCAATATACCATATTTGGGGGTAAAACATTTTAAAGCAGAACAGTAGCTTAAAAAGCACATCTGGGGTCTGGGGTTGTAGCTCAGCGCTACAGCACCTGTCTAGCACGTGTGAGGTCCTGGGTTGAATCCTCAGCACCACATAAAGATAAATAAAATCAAGGTATTGTGTCCATCTAAAACTAATATTAAAAAAAAAAAAAAACCCTCAACCTCTGCGGGGTTGAGTATGGGGTGGAATAAAACCACTGTTTTGTAGGCAAACCTCCGCGACTAGCAAGACAAAGCAAATTAAAACTCAGGGCTATGGGTACATTAGGGACGGGAGATGAGATCCCCTGCTGGCTGGGGACCTGCTTTCTGAAGGGCTCTGCTGCAGGTCTCACAATCGGGAATTGCCTCCCCCAAGGCGCCTAGAGGGGGCGACGGGCCCCGGGGCCACGCGGTAGATCCAGGTCCCCGCCAGCCCACTCGAGAAGGAAGGAGGGAGAGAGAGAGGGGCTTCCTGGGGGCGCGAGGCTGAAGTCTCCCTCTGTACCGCAGCCTCCCCTGCGGGTCCCGGACCCTCCCAGCCGCCTCGCTGCCCAACCCGTGCACCTGCCGGTAACGCCAGAGCCCGCCAATCCGCACCGCTAGGCAGTGTATCTAGGACCAAAACACCTAATCGACCTGCTAAAACTGCAACCGCAGCACCTGAGGGCCCCGGATGGCGGGGGGCGGGACCAGAGGACACACGTGCCTCTGGCTTTGGGCGTGGCCTACCGGAGGGGGAGGAGCGGATCTTATGGTCCACGCTATAGGGGTGGGGCCAGGTAGCGGGACTCGCAGGGAAGAAAGTGGGGACAAGAGCTGGGACCTCACTCCAGGCAGCGGTGAGGCTGGCGGGCCTGGTGGCGGTGGCCCTCCCTGTGGCCAAGCCCCTGGCCTGGGTGATGAGGAGGATCAGGAGGGGCTGGCCAGTGTGGAGCCCGTGGGCCTCCGGGAGCTCATGCTGTCCGGAGGCGGGGCAGGGCGGGGCGGGGCCGGGCCTCCCCCTCCCCACCCCAACCCCCACCTGCCAACCCAGCGCTTGTAAATGCCTGGAGGTCCTGGGCTCAGCGGGCGTCTGGTCTCAGCTGCTGGAGGAACAAGGAGTATGGGAAGCTGATTAAGACCCCAGGGATGGACAACATGGTGCTGCACTGGTCCTTCTATCTGGCTGACAAGGGGACCCTGTGTCTGATGGCCACCACCTCATCCTGTCCTCACCTCAGGACAAAACAGAGGAGCTGTGGAACCTAGTACAACTGCCACAGTCCAGCCACTGAAGCAGGAACAAACTTTATTTTTGAACTGCAAGAAAACACTTCACACACGCTACTGGGGAATTCCCCCGAAACCACAGGCTCTCCAGAAATCCGCAGCCGGAAATATCTGTCCGGGAAATCCCTCCTCCTGCACTTACCAACCACTGGGAACTCTCCAGGAATCCCCAGGAGTCCCCAGGAGAACTCCTTATTGCAAGAACTCAAAAGTAGCGGCTGAAGCAGGATAGTAGTGCCTCCCCTGTCAATCAATATTGTTGGCAAAATGCCAGGGGCCATACAGACTCGGCCATGGCTCTCAGTATTTCCCCCCTTCTGTTTAATTAAACAATAAGCAATGTGGCTTAGGGACCGTGCCTGTTAGGTTGTCCAATTCAACATATGGTTCTTACCCGTCATCAGATGAGCTGACCTCTAGGCGTCAGCCTCCTGTCTTAGGTTGGTACCACTGCAATTGGATCATACCCGTCACTGATTACCGGTTCAGCATACAGCCATACTTGTGGATAGGCCTTTGCACCAGTGTGGGGGGGTGAGGTTCTTTGCCTCACCTCTGTTGGCCCCCAAATTTGGCCTTGGTGCCAGTGGGGGGGGGGGTGAGGTTCTTTGCCTCACCTCTGTTGGCCCCCAAATTTTAGACCATCACTAATAGAAGGGAGGAGGATGCAAAATGCCATGACACTAAGCCAATTGAGGGCTCCTTTGAAAAATTGTACCACCGGTGACACCATCAGTAAAGATACTCCTGCACTACCATAATTGGCTGCACCAACAGATAGTTCACAATGCATACAAGTGATACATAGTCCAGGCAAGTTCTGCAAGCAGTTCAAAGCAGAGGAATCTGTCAATATGTTCATTTCCTCCCAAAGTAAATTGACTCCTTGATTGAGCATTACTTGTTGAGTTATTATTCATTGATGCATCAGTTTATACAGTTTGTTGTGATAACTATCGAAGAAGTTGTTTGGTTTTATCTTTGTTTTCACCAGAACTGGGATGAAGATAGGAATTCTGGCAATGATGCTAAAAAAAAATTATGTAATATTCCAACAGGCACTAAGAAAACAATTTTTTGAACAATTTACATTATCCTGAACAGAATTATTAAATATAATGAAAAGGAAAGGTGAAAGTAAACAAACAGATCTGTTAAACTCCTTATTTGTTCACATATTAAAACAATTTTCAACAGCTGTTTACCCAGTCTAAATTAAACCATTAAAATCACGTGAATAAAAAAATTCAGATCCATTTATTCATGAGCGCTCCTCACATATGGTATATGGACATACGCACATACAGACATACAACACAAAACAGAAGTGTGCACACATAACATACAACACATAAGACAATAGCTTTACCTAGGTGAAATCTCAGTTGCAATGTTTAAAAACTCCACAGTCAAAAAATAAAACTGATCAGAAAAACATTAACCTAGGTTTGTATGAGCTCAAAAATAAAATAGAACTTTATGATGTGGGAAAAGGCAATAATAAAATAAATATTGAAAAAAGCATCCTGGTTAATCATTGTCGCAGATGTAAGAATAGCCAAACTGGAGTTCTGGATATCAGCTGTTATGGATTTGAGTCAAATCACCTTTTTTTTTTTTTTTTTTTGGTCTGTAGAATTCGCTTTGGTTAGTTTCTCTGGAATCCAAATCGGCTGTTGTTCTCCCTGTGGAAACACACAAACAGAACCCTGACTCCAGACAATCACTGGGTCAGGACCTTAATTAATCTCTCTGGAATCCAAATCAGCTGCTGTTCTCCCTGTGGAAACACACAAACAGAACCCCGACTCCAGACAATCACTGGGTCAGGACCTTTCCATTGTCCTGTTAGAATATCCTTCCAAAGTACCTTAGGCTTATGTACATTTTTTGGACACATATGCCTTTCCGCAGCACTAAGCCCTGATGAATCCAAATTTAAAAAGTTTACAGTAAAAAGGGTTATTTTAAGTTTATCTTTGGGGGATATATACCCCTTTTTAATTCCCTCTTTTTGCTTTAATAAGGACATTTTAATAGTTTGATGAACTCTTTCAACTATGCTTTGTCCCTGAGGATTGTATGGGATTCCTGTTATATGAGTAATGCCAAATGATGAGCAAAATTGTTTAAAAGAGGTAGAAGTATAACTAGGATTATTATCAGTTTTTAACTGTTTTGGAACGCCCACAGTGGCAAAATTTTGTAAGCAATGAGCTATAACATCTTTAGTTTTTTCTCCGGCATGAAGGGAGCCCATCAAAAATCCAGAAGTAGTATCAACTGTAACATGCAAATATTTTAATTTTCCAAATTCTGGCAAGTGTGTGACGTCCATCTGCCAAATATGGTTAGGTATCAATCCTCTAGGATTGACTCCAAGATTAACTTGTGGTAAAAAGGTCACACAATTTTGACATTGTTTTATTATTTGTCTAGCTTGTTCCTTAGTTATTTTAAAACTCTTTTGTAAAGTATTAGCATTGACATGGAACTTTTTATGAAAATTTGTAGCTTCTTCTAGTATAGAGAAGATGAGATATGATGCTAAGGTCTGCACCTGTATCCAGTAGCCCATTAAATTCATGTCCTTGAATATTCAGTTTTAGCATTGGGCGAGAATCCAAATTTAAAGACAGCATAGCCCAATCTACTCCTGTGGAGCCTAATCCCCTGGAACTTCTTTCTGTACTACTACTGGAAAATTTATCATGTAGGCTGGGTATTATTAATAACTGTGCTATTCTATCTCCTGGTGAAATTACTGATATACCCTTTGGAGAACTGGCTATAATTTTTATTTCACCTTCATAATCGGGATCAATTACCCCGGGACTTATCATAAGTCCTTTTAGAGTAGAAGAACTGCGTCCTAACAATAAGCCTATTGTTCCTTGGGGAAGAGGTCCTTTTACTCCTGTGGGAATGATTTGAACTCCTATCTCTGGAGTTAGTACTGCTCTGGTGGAGGCGCAGATGTCCAACCTTGCGTTCCCTCTGCTTCGTCTGATGAGAGATCTGATGGATAATGTGTCCTGGGCATTCCCCTGATGCTGTTGCTGGGTGCCTCCATGGTGTTTCTGGGTTCCTCTAGTACCCCGTATATTTGTGGTCATGGGCCCCGGAGCATTGGGTTCCCCTGTCCGTTTTTTGGCAATGGAGCCTGATGCCTTTCTCCACGATATCGTGGGTAAACACCTGGTCCTTGTCCATTTTTTGATAATGGAGTACCCTCTATGGTGGTTTGAGAACGGCATTCATTAGCTCAATGTTTCCCTCTACGGCATCGTGGGCAAATACTTGGTATTCTACTCCTTTGATACCTAGCTTTGTTAAACCCTCCTCCTATGGGGCAATTCCTTTTAAAATGTCCTGTTTGTTCACAATTATAGCATGTTTTTGGCCTAGCATCTAAAGCCTGTTGTACTGCTGCCAAGATTTGCCCTTGTTCATTAATGTCTTTACATAATTTAATATATGTGTTTAAATCTTCATGTCTCCATGGTCTAATGACCTCTCTGCAGCAACGATTTGCTTGGTTATAAGCCAGTTGTTTTATAAATGGCATTGCTTGTTTTGTATCCCTCAAAATTTTGGAAGCCGATTGAATAAGCCTATCTACAAATTCAGCATAAGGTTCATTAGTTCCTTGTATTACCTTAGATAATTGTCCTTGTAAATCTTCATGCCCCTGTAGAGTTTTCCATGCCCTAACCGCATCTACAGCAATTTGTGCATATACGCCAGGATCATATTCAATTTGTTGCCGTTGACCCTCATAAGGTCCTTTTCCTAATAACATATCTAGATTTCTTTGAGGGTAACCGGCTGCTGCATTTCGCTTAGCTGTCTCCGTGCAAAATTCCTCATTGGCAACCTTCCATAACAAATATTGTCCTCCATTTAGTACAGATTTACATATATTAGCCCAATCTGCTGGCGTTATGTCCAAGTTGGTAATGGATTCGACCATGCTTACAGTGAAGGGTGCTTGAGGACCATAGGTTGTTACAGCCTCCTTTAACTGCTTCACTGTTTTGAAATCTAAAGCACGGTGAATTCGCTGCCCTCCTGCCTGCTCAAATACAGGGCATGCTAATCTTTGAGGTCCTGTCTCAGGATCCCATCTATCAACTACGGGGGTTGAGGGCCACTCAGCTATCTCCATAGGTGGAGCTGTTGATTGAATTATGCCCTCTGGTGATAGAACAGTGTTAGTAGCAGCCTCCTGTTGTAGCTTTTTCCCTAATAGCTGTTTTTCCTCTAAGCTTTCTTCCTTTAAATTTTCTTCCTCTGTCTGACTAGCTCAAGAGATCTTTTCTTTTGCTTGATCTAAAATGTCTTTCTCCATGGTTTGAACCTCTAACAATTTACTTAACAGTCTTTCAGTTTGTTTTTTACTAA